GTAAATAATTAATTTCTTGAACCATTACAATTTCTTGGAAGGAGAATAAAACCCAAGACCAAGGCAGGGGGAAGATGCACCCACCATTTGCCAAGAGAGACTTGCTAGGTGCGTTTGGAAAAATAGGCTAATCATGGCCTAATACGTCAAAAGCGTACGTTTTTGCTTCTTGTTCTCATTTGTATGTATGACTACGACTAAGTTATTCATCTTTAGTTCAACTAAACGTAAGTTTGGTTGTAAGTTCTTTTGGTTTTGGTGACTGAGTCCACCCACTATGAAGCTTCGAGACGATGTGAGTAAAATATTAAAAAACATATAACATAAGATTTAGTCAGTGGCGGAGCCAGGGGGTGCGAGGGTGGCGCTCGCCCCCCTGAAATTTGAAAATCTTGTAAATTAGTATGTGAAAAATTATCTAGCCTCTCCTAAATTTTGAAAATTTTAGTATTTTGCCCCCCCTGAAAAAAATTTCTGCCTCCGCCCCTGGATTTAGTAATTAGTCGAGAGGGTCATATGATATTGATACTAGTTTTCATTATCATATAAACATTTACTGAAATCATAAAGCAAAAAAAGATGACAAGAACCATCCTGCAAGATGCATATATAAAATGTATATTAATATACTATTGTGTTTGTTTTATTTATCACATTTTTAAAAAAATGATGATGTAATTTACTTGCTAATATAATTTTTAACATAGAATTAAAGTCTTCATTTTTTTTATTTTACCCATATTAATATTATATTACTTTATTCTTTAAAAAAATACATCCCAACTTTCTAACTACCCTCATTGATAATAGACCCTCAGAAGAATTACAAAAATAGTATTTAATTTATGAATTATTTAATTAAATTTATCTACTCTAGCAATAACTTTAAAACTAACATTAATTTTACATTTTTTTCATAAATTTATAACAAATATATACTTTTAACTTATGCCATTAAAAAAAAAAACTCTTAATAATAAGTATAATTTTATAAATTTTTATAATTTTTATATCATACTAAAGTATACCATGTAAAATATAACAGGCGTAATTTATAACAAAGGTGATAAGACAAAAAAAACATATACTTCCAAGGCTTATAACCCATTTCTCAATGCATTAAAATTCTTACTCTTAGTAGTGGAGATATGGTAGAGATACATATTTCCCTAAAAGGACCCAACTAGACTAAAATTCTGTAAAGAGAAGCCTGAAGATCCACAGCTCGTGGACGGAAGCGGAGGTGGTGAACAACATAATCCCTAAAGATCTGAAGTCTTTATCACAGTTAACAAGTAACAACAATGTTTTTTTAATACGTTTTCTTTATAAAAAGTTAATTTTATTTTTGACATTAATATCATATGCATATTATTATTTAAATAATTAATGAAATTAAAATTAATTTTTATTTTTTACATAATAATTAATTACAAATATATTCAATTAATACATTTTAAAAGCATAATTTTTTTTAAAAGTACTTTTTTATTTTTTTAAATCATTGAAAAAATTATTTTTTCATACCTCTTTCGATATAATTCACTTCACATATATGTTATATTAATGTTAAAATCATACATCAATCAATTTGATTTTTTTTCTTCATCTAACAAACATTGAAAGATAATATCCTACCAGCTGCCAACTGCTTTTCATTCTTTCTTTCATCACCTAACAGCATAATTTATATGCCCCATTTTTCCCTAAAAGGACAACATTTTATCCGCCATTTGATGTGCCCAATTAAACCAACCACAAAACCACACGCATTAACAGAGTGTCCCCGCCTACAATCCCCATCGTATTAAATAATTAAATACCGACAACCTTGCCCCGTCAAGGACCCAACTTGTCCCCTGTCCTTACGGAGCCTTTAGGCTCCAACCGTCTTATTTGGGCAAAGAAAAAATCAGTCTCCTTTTTTTGGTAGGAGAGCAGTGCTAGGGGCACTCGCCTCCTGCACTCTCCGACCAACACATGCTTTTTTATTGGGTCACGTAAGCTTGCATAGGCTATGAAATGATCCCTCTGGAAAAGCCAAAATAACGTGGACCAAAGAAAATAGAAGTGTTGTTTGGAGAGTGCAATTGGGGAGTGTCCCTAATTAAACTACTGTATTAAGGTGCATAATAGCTTTTGGTCTTTTCTTTTTAATTAGTCCCTAGGCCATGTTAGTACTATTTTGGCCGATTTTTATGAAGGATTTTTTAAATTTATGCATTAATTATATCATTCTGTAATAAATTTTTTAAAAATATATAAAAATAAATATTATTTTTAATATTTATGTTACATGAGTAATTTTAATTAAATAGTTAATAAATTTAAAATTAATTTTTATTTTTTATAAAAATTAATTATAAAAATATATAATTAATATATTATCAACATATGTCAATTTTGAAATAATGGTGTTACATTTGATTTTGGGGCATTCAGATGGAAGTATATTACTTCGACAATTTAAAATGTTAAGAAGAAAAAAAAAAAGGAAAAAGGAAGAAGAAGGTATGTTTATTTTAGAGGGTAGAAAGTCATGACATTTTGATAATTAAAATATTAAGAATAATAATAATGACTTAAATATTTTTAATAAATTAACAAGTAAAAAAATTTATTAAGAATATTTAAATAATTTCATATACAATCCTAACAAATCTTAATTTTTAGTTTTTTTCTTTTTACTTTTTTTTTTTTTGGAAAATAAGCAATAGAAGAGAAAGAAGAAGATTGTGAATGAAGATTATGTTTGATTTAAGTCAATGGATATATTCATTGCTTACTGAATGTCATTTTATAAGTCAAGTCAAGAATTTAAAGCTAAAGACCAATACACAAATAAAAATAATTTCTTGAAAAAAATCATGTTAATATAAAAGTATGGTCCTTAAAATAATAAAAACTTAATTTCAAAATATATAAAAACTAACTAAAGAATACTATGATATGATTTGCCTTTCCATGGATTTCTATCTTCCCACATCATTCATCAAAAAGCAGAACGTCTACCCTCTTTGTTGTTAGTAGTAGAGAAAGAAAAGGCAGCTGATATTTGTGGGAGCAAAAGATGATATTTTCTCTTTGTGAGACACCCTTAAACCCTGTATCATGGTACTTATCCTCCTACTATGATGTCCAAAAAGCCACTAAAAAAGGCCAATCCCAAACCGAAGCAGAGAGATCCAGCAATCTTCCCACTACCTTTCAAGCAGCAACTCGCTTACCCACATCATACCTTTTTCATTGGCTAAATCTACTCTAGAATTGCTGAAGTCACGCGATTATTACATGGCGAATATTGTTTTTCCCTTTAACCTCATTATTATCGCTTAATTTTAAGGGGAAAGTTAAAATCAAAATGTTTTCACCTTATAAATAGTAAATTTTTTTTTTTAAATTTGTTTAATTTTTTTTATTAATTTTTTTATATATTAATTTATTAATATATTTTTAATTTTTATTATTGTTTCTAGTACTATAATTGTTAGAATGTTCTAATTATTTTTAATTTTTAATTTTAATTATTCATTAAATGACTAAAATTTTCTTTTTAGTTTTAATTAATGAGGTTATAAAAAAAATATAATGTCCAACAATAATTATAAGATAAATAAGATATAATATAGATTTTACTTATCATATGATTGAGATTAAAAATCTTGATATTTTTAATATCAAAATATTTATTTTTTATTTTTTTATTTTTTTATTTAATTAATACTCAAAGAAATTTAGGGAAAAACATAATTTTTTCATTATTATCACTTAAATTTGTGAAGTGTGCTTTTGAGTTTTAACTTTTAAGAGTATCCTATACATACAAGATATATTAATGCCGATATTTATAGAAGTTGATTTAAAAACATCTTGACTTATTCTATAAAAATCTGTTAAAGTTGCTAATCATGATTAGTTAGGCGAAACTGCTCCAATAAATCTTTGGCCTTTTTCCCCTTGTATCTTCCTACTTGGATCCTAACCCAATCGCACCAGACTTCCTAGCTCATCTTTTGGGGATAAATACAGTCTTCCCTCTGTTTCTCTTATAAGGGAAGAGGAAACCTGATATTTCTGGGTCGTTCGGTAGCTACTGCCAATTTCATTCTTAATTCTCTCTTTTTAGGGAACTGAGGACCATTTCTGATTGAGAAGCTGGAATTTTTGTAGCAGGGCGAAAACGGTCCCCGATTCGGATAACAGCCACCCTTTCCCTTATCCTAGAGAGACAAAAAAAGATGCTCTTTCTGTGTCTCTTTTAAGCTGGAATCTTTACAGCATTGCCATAGCTCAAACCAACCCTCCGCCCTCAAAAACCCAGAAAAGTTTGAAGCTTTCTTCTTCTTCCTCTTTGTATGACCAAAACCCTTCAAAACTGGTGGCTGCTGAGGTTTGAAACAGTACCTTTTTGCCCCTGGCCCGGTGGGGTTTTGTTTCTAATTTTATTTTTTTTGGAGTTCGGAAACTGTTTGACGAATTGCCGCTGAAGCTTTTCTT